TGTCATTAATTGGTATCCAATTTTATTTTTATTCAGTAAAATATTTTTATGTATAGATTTTAAGTACATATATTCCGAGATATATTCATTCGTCTTCTCGTTGAATAATTTTCATTTTTCTTGGTACCTAGCATCAATTATCTCTGGAAGAATACTCTCTCTTTAGAATTTAATCAACTTTGGAATCATTTCATTCCATATATTTTCATTTCTGAAAATTCAACCAAACCATCAGGAGGTGCACCAAAGAATGGAAAATTAGCATCAACAAAAAGTTCGAGAAGTGCCAGGGAGGTACAATCTGTTTTGGCGCGAAGGGCTGAGTGAGTCATGTGTACAATTTGACTAAACACGCAACCGCGAGATTTGAAGATATGTTTATTATTATTTCCTCAGATCATTTTGAATGATGTTGCATGAGCATAACACAACGGAGATAGTTTCCAAGGAAGGTTTTGACATAAAAATTCAGAAAAAGATATGTTTTCTCTCTTCGTTTAGAATATACTGTGGGGAAGACACTTCCAGAAACGATGATTTTACATAATTTTCATCTACTTGGAGGTGGTTTCCAGGGTGAGTTTTGAGATAAAAATTCTGGAACAAGGTAGGTATGTTTTCTCTGTTCGTTCTGATGATATTGTGAGGAAGACGTTTCAGAAACGATGATTTTACATAATTTTACGTAATTTTCATCTATTCGGGGGTGGTTTCCAGGGTGAGTTTTGAGATACAAATTCTGAAACAGGGTTGGTATGTTTCCTCTGTTTGTTCTGATGATATTGTGAGAAACAAATTTTCAGAAACGATCATTGCACATAATTTTACGTAATTTTCATCTATTCGGGGGTGGTTTCCAGGGTGAGTTTTGAGATACAAATTCTGAAACAGGGTAGGTATGTTTTCTCTCTTCGTTTTGAATATAATAATAATAATAATAATAATAATAATAAATTTATTCATCTTTCTTGATCATACATATAGTTGATATAAGACATGTCAGGGGTAAAAACGAAAAATATATATAAAACTGCTAGTATAATTATTACAAAAAACACATTAGCACATAAAATCAGTAAATATGTCATCCACACACTTCTCTACTAAAAATTTTTTGAGACATCTTTTAAAAAGATTATGATCTTTGATTTCCTTTAAGGATGATGGGAGATGATTGAAAAAACTTATTCCATTATAGTGTGGACTGAGCTGATAGAGAGATGTTGAGTGTTTGGGGACACAGAATTTATCACCATATCTTGTAAAGTAATTATGGAAGTCATGGTTTTTAGAGAATTCCGATGAATTGCTTTTTGCATATAAAATGCATTTGTAGATATATATCGACGGCAATGTTAATATTTCATGCTGTTTAAAATGTTCCCTACAGGTTTGCTTGAAATTTAGATTGAAAATCAATCTGATAATTCGTTACTGTGCAATAAAAACTCTTTTCACATTTGGTACTTTACCCCACAGAACAATATTATATGATAGATGGGAGTATACAAGTGAATAGTCGAGTGAATAGTAGTATATTGTCAGAAAGAAATTTTCAGAAACGATTATTTCACATAATTTTTCGTAACTTTCATCTATTCGGGGTAGGTTTCCAGGGTGAGTTTTGAGATACAAATTCTGAAACAAGGTAGGCATGTTTTCTCTCTTCGTTTTGAATATATTGTCAGAAAGAAATTTTCAGAAACGATTATTTCACATAATTTTTCGTAACTTTAATCTATTCGGGGGTGGTTTCCAGGGTGAGTTTTGGGATACAAATTCTGAAACAGGGTAGGTATGTTTTCTCTGATCGTTATGATGATATTGTGTGAAAAGAATTTTTAGAAACGATCATTGCACATAATTTAACGTAATTTTCATTTATTCGGGGGTGGTTTTCAGGGTGAGTTTTGAGATACAAATTCTGAAACAGGGTAGGTATGTTTTCTCTCTTCGTTTTGAATATATTGTCAGAAAGAAATTTTCAGAAACGATTATTTCACATAATATTTCGTAACTTTCATCTATTCGGGGTAGGTTTCCAGGGTGAGTTTTGAGATACAAATTCTGAAACAAGGTAGGCATGTTTTCTCTCTTCGTTCTGAATATATTGTCAGAAAGAAATTTTCAGAAACGATTATTTCACATAATTTTTCGTAACTTTCATCTATTCGGGGGTGGTTTCCAGGGTGAGTTTTGGGATACAAATTCTGAAACAGGGTAGGTATGTTTTCTCTGATCGTTATGATGATATTGTGTGAAAAAAATTTTTAGAAACGATCATTGCACATAATTTTACGTAATTTTCATCTATTCGGGGGTGGTTTTCAGGGTGAGTTTTGAGATACAAATTCTGAAACAGGGTAGGTATGTTTTCTCTCTTCGTTTTGAATATATTGTCAGAAAGAAATTTTCAGAAACGATTATTTCACATAATTTTTCGTAACTTTCATCTATTCGGGGGTGGTTTCCAGGGTGAGTTTTGAGATACAAATTCTGAAACAGGGTAGGTATGTTCTCTCTGATCGTTATGATGATATTGTGAGAAAAAAATTTCCAGAAACGATCATTGCACATAATTTTACGTAATTTTCATCTATTCGGGGGTGGTTTCTAGGGTGAGTTTTGAGATACAAATTCTGAAACAGGGTAGGTATGTTTTCTCTCTTCGTTTTGAATATATTGTCAGAAAGAAATTTTCAGAAACGATTATTTCACATAATTTTTCGTAACTTTCATCTATTCGGGGTAGGTTTCCAGGGTGAGTTTTGAGATACAAATTCTGAAACAAGGTAGGCATGTTTTCTCTCTTCGTTCTGAATATATTGTCAGAAAGAAATTTTCAGAAACGATTATTTCACATAATTTTTCGTAACTTTCATCTATTCGGGGGTGGTTTCCAGGGTGAGTTTTGGGATACAAATTCTGAAACAGGGTAGGTATGTTTTCTCTGATCGTTATGATGATATTGTGTGAAAAAAATTTTTAGAAACGATCATTGCACATAATTTTACGTAATTTTCATCTATTCGGGGGTGGTTTCCAGGGTGAGTTTTGAGATACAAATTCTGAAACAGGGTAGGTATGTTTTCTCTCTTCGTTTTGAATATATTGTCAGAAAGAAATTTTCAGAAACGATTATTTCACATAATTTTTCGTAACTTTCATCTATTCGGGGGTGGTTTCCAGGGTGAGTTTTGAGATACAAATTCTGAAACAGGGTAGGTATGTTTTCTCTCTTCGTTTTGAATATATTGTCAGAAAGAAATTTTCAGAAACGATTATTTCACATAATTTTCGTAACTTTCATCTATTCGGGGTAGGTTTCCAGGGTGAGTTTTGAGATACAAATTCTGAAACAGGGTAGGCATGTTTTCTCTCTTCGTTTTGAATATATTGTGTGAAAAAAATTTTCAGAAACGATCATTGCACATAATTTTACGTAATTTTCATCTATTCGGGGGTGGTTTCCAGGGTGAGTTTTGAGATACAAATTCTGAAACAGGGTAGGTATGTTTTCTCTCTTCGTTTTGAATATATTGTGTGAAAAAAATTTTCAGAAACGATCATTGCACATAATTTTACGTAATTTTCATCTATTCGGGGGTGGTTTCCAGGGTGAGTTTTGAGATACAAATTCTGAAACAGGGTAGGTATGTTTTCTCTCTTCGTTTTGAATATATTGTCAGAAAAAAATTTTCAGAAACGATCATTGCACATAATTTTACGTAATTTTCATCTATTCGGGGGTGGTTTCCAGGGTGAGTTTTGAGATACAAATTCTGAAACAGGGTAGGTATGTTTTCTCTGTTCGTTCTGATGATATTGTGAGAAAGAAATTTTCAGAAACGATTATTTCACATAATTTTACGTAATTTTCATCTATTCGGGGGTGGTTTCCAGGGTGAGTTTTGAGATACAAATTCTGAAACAGGGTTGGTATGTTTCTCTCATTCATTTTGAATGTCCTGTCGAATATAAATTTTCAAAAACAATGAGTTAATTTGGTTTTGATTAGTACTGAAGATATTCATCTATATATAGAGGTAGTAGCACCCTATTAGTGTGTATACCCCAATTCATCATTATAATCATCATATTGACGCAAAACATTTGGATCGCAATGGTTTCAGTCGATATCTGAATGTTAAAACGGAAGAATCGATGTGATAACATTTTACACCTGTGCGCATATACTATCATTTCGTTTCCGATACGGCGACCGTTTCTATTTTCACGCCGGTCTAAGAATCTACCTATTCACCATCTCTGCCATTAGCTTATGGACAGAGAAACCTAACCATGCTTTATTGATCATTTCAAGGAAAATTACTTCTGTTCAAGAGAACTATGGATACTATCATCCTTTTCAAACATACTAAAACTAGTTGTGAATCAGTCTGTCATCATCATTGCTGAACAAAGAGAATAAAGTGAACTCAGATTGAGAGCTGCTAGACTTCTCTTCCATATGATTGCACTTTGCATCCTCAACTAGAAGGTTAGGTATATGTCATTCAAATATCAGTGTTGTTTAGAAACATGATTCAAGAGCCTAATGTCACACTCTGGTTCATATCTTAATCTTATTATATAATATGATGATTGAGATTAAACAGATGGGTAAACCATACTGTGGATCCATAAAAGTAAAACTCTCTGAACTGTCAGTGGAAATAAACACCTTATCAAAAGGTAAGTATATGAATTAACAGAAGTAGTTAATTATGATTCTGCTTTGTAGTCTCATTCAGTAATACATCTTTTAGAATTGAGGTATTTTTTTTACAATTTGAGGAATTGAATGATGGCTTGGAATTCTCATTGTTTGTTCCACCAAGTATACAAAAGTAACTGAAAGTTAACCTTCTAACTCCAAGCATTTAACAGATATGATACCTTATCACAAATGCCTTTTGGTGAATCATAAATCAATACCCCTCATTGATGTGAATGTTCAATATCATTAGAGAAACTACTACTTTCACTTATAATTCTAGCCTGATGAGACCTTAGCTGAAAGACTTTGGGGCTTGACAGAAATGTTCCCAGAACCCCTGAGAAATGCAACATATGCTGCATACATCAACACACAATTAGGAATGAAATGTGCATATGGATTTTCACGCAGTGCCATGTGGATAATTTTCAGCACTTCCATCATTTTGTTTGCCCCTGTAATATTCGAAGTTGAGAGAGCCCAAATGGAGGAGATGCAAAAGAATCAACAGAAACAGTTGTTACTGGGCCCAAATTCAGCAATATCAGGTGGTGTTCCACCTCCCATAATGCCCCCAATGCCACAACAAAGAAGTTGAGTTTCACACATGGACTTGTATCATTACAACTAGATTGTGAAATTGGCTGTACTAACATTCTTAAATACAATTCTTTGTATGTTCCTGCATTTTTGGATGCTTTGTTTTGAATATTTATATTATGGAATAGAATATTGTAGTTGGTATTCTCTCATGTTGGGGAAAAAATAGGAGAAATAGATTGTAAGAGATATTGTAACTGGTAAACTCTTGCAGGGAAGATTTTACATTAAACATTTCTTCAGACAAACTAATTATTTTTATTTCTCAATTTGCTTGGTGAATAAGTTTAAATTTTTAATTGTCATCATTGATTGCTATAGAAATAGGAAAATAATTTTTCTAGGGTTTATTTTCCCTATTTTACTTATGAAAATACACCTATTTTTGTTTGAAAATGGATCGATATACTTTTTGCTTTACTGAAGTGAGCAATTTTTTTTGTATTCAGTATAACAAGTTGTGAAAAATTCATGTCATGACCTAATCATCAAAGTTATCCATGAAAACTGATCAGTAAGCTGTAACTGTTGTTCTTCTGATGAACATACCTATTTCCCACATTTATTAAAAATGTTACTCAAATATCAACCTGTGATGAATTATTATTGAAATCAGAATGAAAGTTCCGGTTCAGTTATGTAGTATAAGGCCTGTTCATTTGTATTGCTAAACTGACTAAAGTTGATCTTTTTCCCCATAGTTGTCTCTGTTCATGCCATGATGTAAACAAAGAAAGTCATAGAAAAAAATCAAGTTCAGCAGGTTGAACAAGCACAAACGAACATGCCTATAGGTTTTTCTGAGATTTATCAAGTTTGCTAGCTCAAAAGATCCTAATAGTTGTTTTGTCACACACATTTTTCAAGAACGCCCGATAGGTGGCAATATGCATTTGGGTGTCTCATAGATCTATGGGTGTCTTAATAATTTCATTAAAGACGCAAAATAAAGAAAAAAAAACGATTTTTTTTATCTATGAAATTCAAGTTACTTTGATTATTATATTCATGTGAATTCTGAAAAGCAATATTATGAAATTAAGTTTTGGAGACAACAGTACCCAAAATATCACAATAATACTTCATCCATAAATACTTATTTCCGAATCTAAGTTGCAAATCTCAGTAGAACTGAAAAATAAATGGAGATTAGCTGACTATAGTTCATTTCTCCATAATAATAATCCGGAAGGTACAGTCGTATTAAAAAAAACGTACAAGTATATTGGAGGGAGAAATTAACGTCATCCTATTTGCGTAAAACGGGCTATCGGGAATGAATGTTTACCAAATGTTGACAGTAAAGTAATCATAGGTTCTCAAAAACACAAAACATTGGCTGAGCCAATTTTACACAACGAGAACTAGAATGCCGAAATCTTATATGTTTAATACTTTTTTATTGAATAGGACTGTCCTATACAGTCACCTGATCTTCATTTTCTTCAAGTTCTACTGAGGATTACAACTGATATACTGAAATAATTATGCTTTTTGAAATACTATCATGCCATTTTGGGCCTATTATTTACCTACTTGAAGCACTTTTTTTTCAGTTTGAAAAAACTATTACTATTGCTAATTTCTGAAGGGAAAAAGAGATAACAAACATTACATCAAGTGAGCTTCTCAAGTGAATATGTGGTTTTTTCCAGGTCATAAATTATCTCAATTTGAACTAAAGAAGCTATTCTGTTTTAAGTTGATTTATATTACATGATTCCATCGTCAGTGCAGGTATCAGTAGCAACTAGAGTAAAATGTTCAAATTATGTCTAGAGTAGCAACTAGGCTGATGTACACTCGTCTTCAGCGAACATGTCTCGGTTGGACGATATGAGCGCTCTTATTGCAGCAGTGATCAAGGGAGCTGACACCGTCCATGTGGGACATGATCACTGAAGACGAGTGTACCATAAAGAGGAATAAAGGGAGCAGCTAGTATTATGAATCACTGTCTACCTTCAAGAGAAGTGACTAGGTTTTTGGGTGACAACTGAATCATAGTTGCCTGGACATATTTTTTTTTATGTGTAGATATTTTTACGTCATTCCTTCTCAATGACGTATCACAAGAGGATACTTTCGTTCTCAAAATGGCGGCACAGTAGGAGACATGTTCTCGAAAATCAATATGGCAACACGACTGTGACGTCATCAAACCCTCTTCTTCAGTTTGATAATTTACATATACCTAGCTACAGATCGCTTCTATTGAAAAAAGTTTTTGTTTTTTAAGAAAATATGAAAACAGTATTTGTTTTCATTATGTTTACTGTGATCCGCTTTTGAAATAGTAAATTGAAATATTGTGAACACAATTCTAAGTAGCACTCAAGGAATGAGATGGTAAAAATCCCACTGGCATGGTAGTTTGAAAATATCCATTATCAGAAAAGGTTAAAGTGCATTCATGAAAGAATGTACATACGAAGAAATAATATAGGAAAACTGGCTTATCATTTATTTCATAAAACAACTTGAATCAACTCTGCTAAGAGCAAATACATAAGTATCATCGTGTTACGAAATCATCGTATTGTTGATAATAAATAAACTGAGATAACGGCAAGTTTTGTGGGAACACTGCATTATCTACTAACTTATTGTATTATCGTATTATATACACTTCAATTATTCTGAACGATATGAGATCATCCACTTCCTACAAAGCGCTCACATATTGAGATGTAACGTCCGGACTTTTGGACCAAATTCGTGGGTTTTAACTTCAACTAAACTAACAATTAACAACCAATAATTGATAATTTGGAGGGTGTTTATATACAACTAATGATAAATGTATTAGGTTTTCATAATCCATGGATTCATATAATGTATGGAGTATTATAATACCTCTATTAGAATAAGAAAAAAACCTAAAACTCTTGAACCTGAAACAATCAGATTTCACTTTGAACAGTGACAAAGGAAAATGGTCATATTCTGCTAGTTATATCTTCAAAATTTTCGAAATTCTTAGTTATTTTGTTCAGCTGAAAGTTGACCAACGTAGTTGTTAGTTGAATTCTTATTAGTTAGTAGTAGTAGTCAGATAAATAGGTTATTTAATTTGAAAAAGGACAACAGTGCAGTAAAGCACTATATGCAGGTTGATTAATGATGTATTGAGCCATTATTGCAAGAAACTCTGTTTATGGAAAACAATATTGCATATAAATAATGAAGGTATCAAGAATCAATTTCCTGAAAATAGAACTGTATAAAAAATGTTTCTGGTTTAGAAATAGGAAATCTCACTTTCTGCGAAAAAAATTGTTCTTTGAATAATCGGAGATATAACACAGGCAAAACCATTTCGAGGTACTAATGAGTTTAATCATAATAAAATATCATTGAAAAATTTTTCTAAGCAAATTGGGCGCATGAGCAACTTTTCGATATGTTGTCAAGATTTATATTTGTTTCACCATGGTTTCGAATAATTTTTAAGCGCAGTTACTTTTTGGGGTGAATCATCTGATTTGTCCTCAATAAAGAGCCTTCAACAATAATAGAAATCACGTGACAGATTACTATTCCACCAATGATACATTCGTAGATTCGTATCTCTTTAACGTGGGTGGAATTGGTAGAAAGAGGTGCTGCATCAAAAATGGTCACGTGATCCTTGTTGAAGACCCGGTACAAATGTATTGAAATAATAATGTTTTTTTTTATTCATTCAGGCGAGAAAATAAAGTCTCGGAAATCGAGAGAAAAGTAGAAAAATCACGAAAATATCCAGCGCACTATTGTGCAGTTCATTTGATCAGCAGTTTGTGTAATATGCGATTGTTCATCCACAACAAAGAACATTTTTCAACTATATGCTTCCTACCGGAGTTTTTCACAAGCATTGAAGAATAAATCTGACTTTCCTGCATTATTGCAACTTTTTCGTATCTTGCAAAATAAATACTACATAAAATCAGTTCGAATTTGATCAAAAATTAACGTCCCCTCATGAAATAGCAGCGTACATGTCTCTGATGTATATACGCTGAAAATGTTTTTTTTTAAATAAATTATGATAACTGCATTCAGTGCAATTATCAATCATTATTTTTTTTCTTTATCATTATGACAACACGATCGACTTTGACAACTTCAAATTATTTTCCGCTGAATATCCCGCGGACATTGACAAATGCCTCATAATTTTATTTGTCATAAAATTATCTCTCTATTATCAATGTCCTAGGGATATTACTACTGATAATTACATTCAATTCAAGGCAAGCCTGTGTGCAACTACTATGCACTTTAATAACAAATTTTGAGCTTCGATATGACATATCCAACAATTAAATTACGAATTATTATAACAGATATGTTTTAGAATAAAATTCTATAAAACTGCTTCACGAACCACGAGAAACTTAAAGTAAGTAACATTTATGATGAGAATCTGGTGAATTCTCAAGAATTGTGGTAACTGAGACATTATAAAAAATAATATGGATTTCAAAACATTCACAAAACAAGAATATACAGTGTGTACAATATGATACCGTAACAACTTCATAATTTGAAATACTAATAATTGATCGATTTCCAAAAACAGAAATTAAATAATATAGTACTCAACTATAAATACTTATTCATATTTTCAAGGCCTACTTTAGTATCCTGAATTGGTCAAAATTTCAAAAACGACTATTAGTATTTTTTTTCAAAAAAAGTGGGTAGCCATCGATTCAGGCATAGCTGGTAATTGCCACTAGGTCAACCATAAGAATCACCAAAACTAGAAGTTGAAAAAATTATTATTCTGATCCAAATTTCTTTCTGGAAATATAAACGAGTTATTAATTCCAGAGAAGATTCTCTGTATCTAAGCATTTGCATCAAGCAGAGATCATTGAGTCATCTCGAATTTTCATTCCATTTTGCAAAATCGGTATAGTTTTTAGAAGCCTGTGAAAACTATTATTAGTTTGTCTATTTTCAAAAAAAGATTTTCAAGAGAAGTGATAAACTGTTCTCGAAATGGTGAAAAATTTTATTAATTTTTGATGGACCTAGACTACCTACAGGGACATCTTCTTGTGCAATCCATAACTATCAAACTGCTTTTATTGCAATATAATGACCACTTCATCAGTTATATCAACTTCTCAGATTTCAATATAAAACAGAGAAGTGCACAAAAAACGACCAGGACGAAACAATTTTTGTTCTATCACTTACGGTTTTACTGGAAACGACCCCAACTTTTGATTTTTAAATGGGACAACCTGTA